TGTCTGGAAGATCTATCCATTGATATAAGTGGGGTATTAAAATATCCTAATATTATTATATTGCTGCCTATTTCTCCCTTTAGATCTGCTAATAATTATATAATTAGGTCCTCCTGTATTGGGTTCATATGTATTTATACATTGTATTCTCTTGTTAGATTGACCTCTATATAATTATGTAATTTTTATCTTTATCTCTTACTACAGTTTGTTTTAAAATCTATTTTTTAATGAAATAAGATAGCTATTCTAGCTTTCCTTTGGTTTCGATTTGCATGGAATATCTTTTTCTGTCCCTTCACTTTCAGTCTCTTTGTGTCTTTACATCTAAACTGAGTCTATTGTAGGCAGCATGTAGATGGGCCTCCTTTTTCTAATCCATTCAGCCACTCTATGTATTTCAAGTATAGAATTTAGTCCGTTTACTTTTTTAAAAAGATTTAAGATTTAAATCTACTTTTAAAGCCACTCTATGTATTTCAAGTATAGAATTTAGTCTGTTTACCTTTTTAAAAAGATTTAAATCTTTTAAAATTAAAAGATTTAATTTACTTTTAGGAAGAGGGAGAAGGAGAGAAAAAGAGAGAGAGAGAAACAGCAATGTGTGGTTGCCCCTCACACGCCCTACACTGTGGACCTGGCCCGTGACCCAAGTGTTTGCCCTGACTGGGAATCAAATAGATGACCCTTTGCTTCACAGTCCAGTGCTCAATCCACTGAGCCACAACCAGCCAGGATTCCATTTATTTTTAAAGCAATTATTGATGAGAATGTACTTACTGTCATTGAGTTTGTTGTTTACTGGCTATTTTTACAGTTCCGCTCTACCAAGACTCTCCTACTGCTTTTAATTAGACCCTTCACTGTTGGGTGTCTTAAAGATCTCTGCCTGAAATGCACCTCCCCTCTATTTCTTCCTATATAAATCCTTTCACTCTCTAAGACTGGGTAAGACCCATTTCTCTAAAGCAGTTTGCCATGACTTTCTAGGCAGGTGCAGTCTAGCTTGTAAACTCCTATAACATTTTATTGATAGAGTTCTCATGGAACTTATCGCATATTAGATACTTAATTATAGTTCATTTTTACATATCTATCTCTTACTAGAATATAAACTCTTTAAAGCTAGAGGCTGTTTCATTCCCTATCAGTGGCCCATATCATGTAGCATAGAGGTTCTTAACCTAGGATCCACAGAGTCCAAGAATCCATCTACAGAATTTGGAGGCTCTATGAACTCAGATAAATTCACTAACCTTTAATCAAAATTTTATATTTCCTTTAATCATGGTTGCAGGCAACAAACCACAAAACACTCATAGTATTTGTGACATTGTAACTAATCAAATCACAATGCATTTTATGATACTGTACTTGATGAAGACATCTCAAAACATCATTTATGTTTATCAGTGCTTCAAAATTATGGTGTTTTAGTCCTTCCATTAGCTCTTATTGTTTAATGCATTAGTAAAGTAGTACCTTATACCATATCACAAAATTTAAGGTTTAAAATTTTAATATAATTCATTTTTTCTATAATTCCATGGATTTTACTTTATGCTTTTAAAATAAGAAAGGACCTGTAAATTTAACTAGACTTATTAAAAGGATCCATGGGGGTTGGGGGGCAGGAATTAGAAGGTAAGAATCTCTCAGTTCCAATATAGCACTTCACAAAATAAGAAATAAAAAAATTATAGAAAATAATCATGATGCATGCAGTTGTTGAATAGGGCTATAAAAGTGTACTATGAACTACAGAATGTTGTATAAACATGGTGTTCATAAAAATTAATAGCCCTAGCATTGGAAAAAAACTAATTCTCTGTCCTTTACAATAGCCTTATTAAAATGCAATTATGACAAATACCATATGATCTCACTTATATGTGGAATCTAATAAACAAAATAAACTGATGAACTAACTAGAACCAGAGGCATGGATACATAGAACAGATGGAAAGATCTCAGAGGAATGGAGGTGGGGGCAGGACTGTATAAAAGAAGGTGAAGAAATTAGCCAAAGAATATGTATATGCATAGCCCACAGACACAGACAATAGCATGGTAAAGGCCAAGGGAGGAGAGGTGGGGTCTTGGTGGAGGTGAACAAAGGGTGGAGGAATGGGGGACATCTGTAATAGGTTAATAATTTTTTAAAAAGCTAAACAGAAAAAAAAGATTGTTGCATACCTCCAAGGACAACTCATTATCCTCCAAAGAGTAGTATCTTGCAACATGGACAGCTACAACTATTCCATAGTTGGTTGTATTATACACAATATTGTGGTTCTTTGTAACTTCTTATCACTGATCTGCATTCTCTCTTCAGGGAATTAGATAGAATAAATTCAATCCCTCTTCCATATGACTTTAATCTTTAGAGACAACCATCATGTCATCCTTGATTTTCTTTTCTTCAGGGTTAATATTACTAGTTCCTTCAACCATTCCTCATTATATAATTTTGCATCTGTTATCATGTCAATGGTTCCCCTCTGAGAATACTTTGAGTCTCTTGTAAAGTGTGGTAATTCTCAACTCAACACAATATTTTAGATGCATTCTATTGATCAGGGAGTTCAATGGAATTACCACCTCTTTGCTACATACTATAGTAATGCTGACTGAGATAGTAGTGGCAAATTTTTAGCAATATTCATCATGCTAACTCCACTGCACTTTCTGTCACCTTAAAGTCATCAGCTTTTTAAAAAATTAATGTGCCTGTTATTTGAATTTCCTTCAGTAATCACTTGAGAAGCTAGGTGATTTGTTCACAACCTCTGGACTTGACAATACAATGTATTAAATTTTATCTTGATGGTTAATTTTAAGTCCATGTTTTCAGTTTACCTGTTGTTTTATTTCTTTCATATATTATATTCACTGTTTCTCCCAGATTTGTGGTACCTGTAAGTTTGATGAGCATGATTATCATATTTTAATATTTGTATTTACTATATTTTATACATTAACATATACTAAAAACACCTGAATTCTGATGCCTAAAATATATGTACTGTATAAAACAATCAAAATTTTGTGAAGTACATAGAAGATATTCTTCAATAGTGGGAATACAGTGATAAACAACTCTTAAATTGGAGGTCTCATACCCTAAATGTCTCTCTTCCATCAAATCTATAACACTGTGAGAAAAAGGAAGAGTATAAAACTAACCATTACTTACAAGAGAAAAATTATTTTAAATTCCCTTGTAATTTGGACAAAAAAATCATCAGAAATTAATTTCTTTATTTTTATACTAAAGAGCCCTCTAACGTATTTTGAGAACTATCTTATAGAACTAAAACCATCTTTCTGGTGAATCATAAAAGTAATCTAGCAATCTCACTTTTCAGAAATTATTGATCTGGCAGCCTCAATTACTCTAGAACATAGCCAATAATGCAGAAAATAAAGTCTGAGCAGTCAGAAGAGTTAGCATGATTCCATGCACTAAAGACCATGCATATTACCTGGAGTCTCACCAAGATATATTTGTTCATATTTTCAATATAGTCCAGCATGTCATGATCATCTGATTTCATAATTTATAGATTAATAGGATAAAATTATAAATTATTCACAACTAAGCAAGAAGTAGCAGCCTGCAATCTAAAGAGGGGAAACCAACACAAACACACATGCTGAAAAATGTCTATCTCAAGCAGACACAAGAACTCCAAGGTTACATAACTGCAAAGAAATAGCCATAAAGCCAAACAGTCCTAATTATCACAATGATCTCTGAGGACATCATTACATTATAGCATAGTAAAATGACTGACATTTATAATATGATAATCATCATAACACCTCAAATTTATGTAGTTTGCAGCTCATAAAAAAACCTTTATAGTCATTATTATAGTTAATTTTCAAAATGCTTAAGTTACCAAGTCAGGTATTGGTACCATGTCCACTTTAAAATTTTGTGGCTTGGGGAGATTGTAGAACTTGTACAGATCCTCATTAATTGTTTGGAATTGGAGTTCATAGTTTACTGAACCATGACCCCAAGTCATCAAATAATATTTACATTGTATGCTATATAATGTGGTCAGTAAGACAGAAAAGTACATAATACATTTTAGAAACTTCCACAAAAATTGCTGATGGGCTGAAAAGTTTAATCTGAAAGTTTAAACTTTTGGGTCCTTGAAGGAATAAAATTAAGTTAAATAAAAAATTCCCTTATAGCAAATCTCCATTTCCCCACAGTGTCACAGAGTTTTAAGTTTAACTTATAATGTTAGTAATAAATCCAGAATCATTAATTACCCTACATTTTAAAAATCTAAAATCTGCACATAAAAAATGAAGGGCCACACGTACTCTAGGAATCACTTAGATTTGATTTATTTAGTTGAAAATGTCATTAAAGAATCTCATCTGTCTTTCAGGACACACTTGAACCTGAGTGGGTTCTTGTGGAGAGAGTGGAGACAGTGGAGGTGCGATACCAGAACAGATGTCATGGGTCAAAGTGCTTCTCACTTGAGCATTTAGCTCCAACAGTCTTAGAAACCTTCAAATCTCAAGTCTACAATATTTGGAGGCAAAATACTACTGCTTATGATATTTATAAAAATGAGAAGCAATATACTATTTTGGGTTTTCTTCTTACTTTTTAAGCAATTGATATTTTCATAATTAAACACTACCCATAAAAAGGAAATAAGGGACAAAAATTAAAAATAAAGTTGCAGCTAAAAACATTCTTGTACTACCTTTTTCAGGGAAAGGCTTACAGTTAGTTTAAAACCTTGATTTGCTATCATAGGAATGAAAAAAAAATGCACAAAGTTTGACAAAAATGGAGCTACCTCAACATTCTTAATGGATCACAATCTGCCATCACCATGGTAAGCCCTGAATAACTTTTTCTTAGTTAATGCCAATTATGCTCTTCTCTGGCCCTTGAAATCCCACATTTTTTAAGGCCTGAAATCTTTAAAAGAATAAAGTTCAACAGTTAAGTCCAAACGTACCCTCTTGTTCAGTCCGAGTCATTTCCTCAAGCTTCTTCTGTTTCAGTGTGTCCACCACATCGGCAAGGCTCCCTTTGCGGCGCTCTGGGGTTCCAAAAGTAACACTGGTCATTATCTCGCGGTCCCGACTCCCTTCGTCAGGCTTATGTGGTGAGGTAGAGGTATTTCGGAAGGAATATAGGGAACATAACTTATTATTCTCTGACTCCTAGGAAAACAAAATAAAATAAAGCCATTAGGATCCTTGTCTCTTTGCTTATCATTTGGAAAATTCCAAACTTAGAATTACAGTATGTGATATGTAGATGGACAAATAAAATATAACTATCTGTGCTTTAAAAAACTAAATATTAAAGAAGCAATTATCAGAGAAGCTAATATGAAATGGCAGATTCAAACTGTTATTTTATTAGGAAAAAAACAGCCTAAGGGGTTTAAAAACAGTTTTAAAATAGACATTTCAACTTCTTCCTCATTTACACCCTTCATTTAAAACAGTTCAGTGTCAATTATTAATTATTAAGATTGGCAAAGTTTTTTTAAATTAGCAGTTTTATTAGCAATGTTCTTCCCACAGTTTAAAATATATATCACAAAACATCATTCTTGAATTTATAACCAGTAGAAAAATTGGCTTCGATAATCACTGTCAATTGTTCACCAGAAAATACATAAAATATCTAAGTCAATGCCAGAAAGTTAACTAACCCAAATATTTTCGTGTGCTGGGGTTTGGAAAGGAGCATTTTTTTTCTAGCTGTACATCTGTCAAAAATTATAGAACCTCTTTCTATTCCTTACTTTCTATCATTGGTACTTGAGCACATGATCACACATATTTTTCATGGGCATTTAAAAATGGTTTGGGTTTATGTTTGTTTCCAAAAGAACAAGTTTATTACGGGAACATTTGCACATGAATTACTTCACAGTACGGAGAAGTTACCTAACTGGTAAAAGAATTGGATCCATCTGCAAGGAGGAAAAACAAATCTTAGATTAAAAATAAGACACCTAAAAGTTTATACAACGAAAATGTTTGCATATCTCTCTAAATCAGAACTGAGAGTTGAAAGGAACTAGTCTCTGGCAGAAGCCCATCAGTAGCCTAGCATTTGCCTTATGTGTCTGTGTCTGGGTAGGCTCTCTCCCACTAAAATTTTTATGAAACAAATAAAGTATCTAGCCTTTGTGATTCTCATCAGAAGCTTGAAAATCTTAACTGCTCCTATACTTCTCTCCATCTTCACAAAGAAGCCTGGCAAGCTTCAAGAACTAGAGAAAGAAGCATGAGGTGAAATTTACAGATTTAATAAGTGAAAAAGGGGAAAAAGAAAAATGGAATTAGAGAAGTAAGTTTCCACATATATTAAATGAGATGATAATTGTACTCCAAAAATGCTACATATGCATTTTTGTTATAGGTACTACATAGGTATTATTGTCATTATATAAAAGGCAGGAATAAAACTTATTTTGAAGGTTATTGGGGGCATATAATGAGATAACATTTATAAAGTAACAGCACACAATGTTGAGCTCATAAGTGGTATTTAGTAAATAGTAGGTCTCATTATTCTGATGGAAGAGGAAGACCTAGGAATGAAGCCAAGGAGGATTTTGCCTACTCTGGACCTAAAAAAATTTTTAGTAAAAAATATGACAAGTCTTGGAACTACATCGAATATTGTGAAGTCTGTGAATATACTAAAAAAAAACACTAAATTGTATACATCAAGTGGGTAAATTATGTATATTATATCACAGAGCTATTAAAATATTGTGAGCTAAATGTTAATTTTTTGCACTCCCATTGCTAGTACAATGCTTATCACAGAGAAATGCTCATTAGATTTGTAATGAAATAAAATAAAAAGAATAAAATTAATGGGGCAGGGCAGGAAAGAGAGCTCTTCTTTGCCTTTGTCCTAGATCTTTTCCTTCCCCCGAGGATGTTTTTCATTCATGTTTACAATAATTCCATGGAGTAATGCTGAGGAACCCCTTTATGCCAATCATGTTTAGTGCATGGTTTTTTGGAATGGCCTTTTCATTCTTCAATTTGTGCAGACAAAAACTGAGATGTGTTTGCAAAATTACTTAGACTCCTTAATAGCATTCCTTCAGAAAGCTGACCTAGGTGTTTTTTAATATATTTTATTGATTATGCCATTACAGTTGTCCCATTTCCCCCCCTTCATTCCCCTCCACCCTGCACACCCCATCCCCCACCATTCCCCCCCTTTAGTTCATGTCCGCACATCACAAGTTATCCAGATTCTATATCTCCCCTACTATTCTTGCCCTCCCTCCTATATATTTTCTATCTATGCTATTTATTTTCTGTACCTTCTCTCCCCTTCTCCTTCTCCCACTCTCCTGTTGCTAACCCTCCATGTGATATTCATTTCTATGGTTCTGCTCCTGATCTAGCTGTCCTCTTAGTTTGCTTTTGTTTTAGGTGTGGTTCTTAATAACTGTGAGTTTGCTGTCCTTTCACTGTTCATACTTTTTACCTTCTTTTTCTTAGATAAATCCTTTAAACATTTCATACAATAAGGGCTTGGTGATGGTGAACTCCTTTAACTTGACCTTATCTGAGAAGCACTTTATCTTCCCTTTCATTCTAAATGAAAGCTTTGCTGGATAGAGCAATCTTGGATGTAGGTCTTTGGATTTCATGACTTGGAATACTTCTTTCCAGCCCCTTCTTGCCTGTAGGGTGTCTTTTGAGAAATCTGCTGACAGTCTGATGTGAACTCCTTTGTAGGTGACTGTCCCCTTAGCTCTTGCTGCTTCTAGGATTCTCTGCTTCATTTTAATCTTGGCTAATGTAATGATGATGTGCCTTGGTGTGCTTCTTCTTGAGTCCAACTTCTTTGGGACTCTCTGAGCTTCCTGGATTTCCTGGAAGTCTATTTCCTTTCCCAGATTGGGGAAGTTCTTCTTTATTATTTGTTCAAATAAGTTTTCCACTGGTGGCTGTTCCTCTTCCCCTTCTGGTACCCCTATAATTCGGATGTTGGAATGTTTAAAGATGTCCTGGAGGTTCCTAAGCCTCTCCTCATTTTTTGAATTCTTGTTTCTTCATATTTTTCTGTTTGGTCATTTTTTTCTTCCTTCTGGTCCATTCCCTTGATTGGAGTCCCAGTTTCCATTCCATCACTGTTGGTTTCCTGTGCATTTCCCTTCATTTCAATTAGTTTAGCCTTCATTTGTTCCTCTAATTTGTGACTAAAATCAACCAGTTCTGTGAGCATCCTGATCACCAGTGTTTTGAACTGTGCATCTGATAGGTTGGCTATTTCTTGGTCACTTATAGTTATTGGCTCTGGGGCTTTGAGTTCTTCTTGAGCCATAATGTTTTGGTGTGTTTGCACTTGTTAATATGAGAGGCAGAGCCCTAGGTGTTCACCAGGGTGGGGCAACTCAGTTGCTGGGTTGTGACGCTGTATGGGGGGGCAGGGTCAGAGTGGGGCAATAGCAGTCCCCTCTGCTGCTTCCTGCCACTGGGGCCTGTGCAGTCTGTCTCACTGCTTGCTCCTTCACTGGTTTAACAGTCTGGCTGAATGGTTTATTATTGTCGGATTTCCATATAGTTCAATTTTCTGTGTTTTGGCTGCATTTTTGTTACTAAAACTTTGTTGTCTTTAAACTTGGTTGTGCAAGGAGGCATAGTGTTTCCAGCTACGCCTCCATCTTGGCTGGAAGTCTGACCTAGGTGTTTTTAAATCAATAATTACCATTTGATCAATCATGCTTCAGTCACTTTCATTTCAAATGCAAACTAATCTTATATTATAGCCTATAAGTCAAAAACCAAAACAAACTCTAGCTCAACCTAAAGGATCAAATACCAAGTCAAAACAATAGGTATGTGCAAGTGGTTAGCTAAAAAGAACTCATCATTGACTATAATAAAGCAAATCTTTTTATCACTTAAAACATGGTATAAGCCAGTCAGACAAAGATACATATCATATGATTTTGCTCAAATTGTGAAATCTAATGAACTAACAAGCAAAATAGAGACAGACTCATAGGTGGAGAGCAGTATGACAGCTCGACATCTAAGGGAGGGGAGGTTAAGGGTGGAGGGAGTATGCAAAATGAAAAAAGAACTCATGGACATGGACAACAATGTGGTGATGGCAGGGGACAGAGAAGTATATGGGGAGTAAATGGTAATGGTAAAAATGCAACATTTTAAAAAAAAATGGTAGGGATGACTCTCCAGCCTGAATAACAACTTAAGTTGTCCTCAAAGCATTTAGGCTCCATACAATACTGCCTTTTTCTCTCAGGACTAAGTTCTATCTTATTTACTCATGTTAGATACTTGTTAGATTGACCACCTTTCTTGTTTTTTTTACCTGTGAGAATGTGGTCACTGCTATCCTGTACCACAGACAATAACCATGGGTTTCCACATCAATGACTCACACTGTCCTCTGCCCCATAACCTGTGTGAAGTGGCTGAACACTACCCAGAAGCAGGCAGCAAGAAGCTGAAGTTATGATTTCCCCATAAAAGTTGTAAGAACTGCATGTGTGTAACATGTCACCAATGTGCCAAGATAGGCAGTGAATGAAATTATAAATGGCTTAAATTGTACAAGTAATTTTAACCATTTTTAGGAACAATGGAAAAGGGCAAAATTTATTCTTTCTGGCCCTCACTTTTTAACTTTCTAAAACTTAAGAAATATTGCTCTTTCATGAGCGGAGTCCTATAGGCAATTTACCTGAGTAAAGAGGCACATAAATCCAAACACTTACAATGAAGAAATTATTGTTGGATAAAAGGCAATAATGCCAAATTAGAAAAAGAGACTTCACATAGACCTCTAGTTTTTTCTAGAGAGCTAATTTTTAAATAACTTTTGCATAATAAAAAAGCTCAACTTTTCCTGTAATTTCCAAAAACTAAACAGGTCCCATGAAATACCAATTGAGGCAAGATTCCAATGGTAATATCTACCGAGTATCAATGTATGGCCCTGCAGCACAGCTGTGGAGAGATCTGAGACAGTATTTCCCTAAAGCAGTGGTTCTCGAACTTCAAGACATAGAATTCCCTGGTATGTATGTTAAAATGCAGATTCTCTCATCTCCTTCATACCCTGAAGAGTAAGACTCAGGAATATAAATTTTGATGAATATCCCAATTGATTCTGATCACAGGTTCTTTAATTCTGATGCAACTCA